TAAATTTGAAAAACTTCTCCTCCCTCTCAGACTCCAGTACTTTCACCCTTTTGGCAAATGCCGGCTTCTTCACCAATTCGCATTCCCTCGCTCTCTTACTTCTTTTTGCTGCTTGTTCTCGATCCGTATGACCATGCAGTCTCCTTATTATGTCCTAAATTTAGAGTTGGGACCCAATCAACGTTAAATTTATCCCATGATTTCGCGGCCTTTCCAGAAACAAAGTGTTTCTCACACACGTGATCGTTTTCCAAAATGGTATCGGTGAGATCGTCTCTATGTGCTAATAGCAGAAATCCAGCGTGATCTTCTTTCTTCTGACAATTCTCTGGCTTCTTTTCCTTGATTTTCAATTATCGAAGGTGCTTTAGCAAAACATAATACATTATCCCTTCCACCTCTATTTCCACAGCCGACAATCAAGCACAAAACCATCTCAGTTCTTTCAAAGGACGCAGTAGATTTGCATGCGATATCTGTACACAAATATGGCAGCATAGCAACAGTTGTCAGGGTTTTGGTCACGTGAGTGAAAATGATCTATTAAAGGAAGTCAGGAAGGTCATGTGTATTTACTTCCTGAGAGATTCTCACTGAGGATTGTCAAGGAAACTTGCTAACCCCTGGGAGAGGATGCCACAGGGTTTTAGGATTAGTCCAGTATTTTTCAGGTTTTCTTGTACTTATTTACAATCTTGAGTGGAGAGAGGCACTGCAAGGGTAAATGGTCCTGCTCGAGTTTACAATGCATTGACCCATTTAGGGCTTTAGTGTTGGACTTCTTGAGCCAAGCCCAGGGCATTAACCACAGGGTTCCAAGCATCTCTCTCTTAACATCTTAATATATGTATGCATGTATCAGTTTAAATATATTATTATCATTAACAAGTTTATTCCTCTGCAGTCATTAGATGGCTAATCTTTGTCTCTTTATTTTATTCACAACATTCTCTTAATAGTTACATTGCCTTTGAAATAGCAATTTCCTAGAAATGTATCTAACATGGTACACAATGTAATAACTGTGATATATCCCCACAATCTAAACACATATCTCTAAATGTTATTTCCCAGTGCCTCCAGAAATAACCGACCCACCCCCACAAACACCTTTGCTTACCATTGGAGAAAACAAAACTCTGACCTGCAATGCATCTGGTGACCCTTTCCCAAAGATAACTTGGACAAAAGATGGTACACCAGCAGAAGAATTTAATGTGACAGGTTACAAGCTTCATTTCACCAATGTGGAGTTGAAGGATGTAGGATCATACAGATGTACAGCCAGTAATGGATATGGAGATGATGCTACCAGTGTCAGCATAGCTAGCATAAGATGTAAGCAGTCTTTCCTGTGTCATCAAAGTTGTTCTGAATACTGCAATGCAATTGCAAAGTTTTACTCTATGCACATGTATTCTTACAGAAACAGCTCTACTTGTATTTTGATTCATACATAAACTGCAGACAAAACAATGTGGTGTGCATTAAACACTACAAAGACCAATGCTTTCAATAAGATTTGAAATAGGTGGCTACCTCGGTACAACACCCGCCGGAAAGAGACTTGATTGCGACTTAGCGTGGTGACTGTGACTTGAGCGCGGTGAAATATACCCGGCGATTCACAACAGAATACCCGCCGGAGCTCCGGCGGGTGCCGGGTCTTATTGAAAGCACTGAAAGACATAATTATTTTCCTTCTAGTTTTCATGTTGAGATATCAAAAAGAAGGTTTTCATTTCTGTCTTAATTTTTTTAGACATCACAGTTTATACATGCATTTGTTTTACATATGCCTGATGAGATGGGATCTTAATACAGATGATTGTGGTGTCTGTTTCTGTGAGACCATTAATTTTTGTGAAAAGTGGGACCTAGTGCTTTCTCACTAGCTACGCACTGACCTTTACAGGGCTCAAAATGGACTTTATTTTTTATTTGGGTGTCAAGTTTTGATTAAAATGATTGGTTCAGTGATAAATTTTGAGCAAAGACATTTCTGTGCTTGAAACATTTTCTTAGATGTGAACAATCATCAGTTGACTGACAAGTGTACTTTACATGTACATGTATCTGTGGCTTAGTTTCATGATAAAATGAACTTTGCCACACTGTATTTTTGAAAACTACTGCTTTCAGACTCAAGAAAGAAACAAAGCTGAGCTGAAATTGGATAACCTGCATGATGCTTTTTGCCTTGGAAAGGTTTTTCTTTAATTCAAGCCTTGAGGAGATTACACCAACTTTATGGTTTATTGTTTTCTTTGTAAAAGTACTTTTTTCCCACTAACCTGCATACATTTCAAGATCTGACTAAAATTTTTGGAAAATAACAGATAAAGCAATGGACTTAATTTGATTGTCAAAATAAAGTAGAAAAAGGGTACTTTTTTATACTTCTTTTATTCTCTTTTTTTATACTGTAGGTAATGATTGTGAAATAAGGACAGTTGGAATAACATTAAGTAGTGAAACTTGGAAGTCAGCCTTGAATAACCAACAGTCAATGGAGTTCAAAACATTGCGGGCAAATGTGTTATCAGAAGTAAGTATTTTGCCAGAATGAGTACAATGGGTGACCATGGCAGGTCAAGAAACTTGTTTTTACATTTACCAGTACATGTTTTGGTTTTGTCTTAGAGGGGTTATTTGTAGTTTTTTGATGTTTGGATACAGATACACCTATCATGTAATTCCTCTTGTCCAGTACTGTTTGGGCTGACAAAGCCTCCTTTTAATTCACTGAAGGTAGCTGCCAAATACAAACCTTCGTAGGAATAATGGGACAAATTTCTTTTGAGTTGTAATTCTGAACCAGGGTCACAAAGAATGGATATTGGGTATTTGATTAATATCCCATCTCCCATTGGCTGGCATTGATATTTGGGGATCGGATTGTAATAGCTTTGAATTTATTCCAAATTTAGTTTGGGGAATTAGATCATTTAAATGTGGCTTTAATTTTGTTTCAACACCAATGGTGGTGCATACTTGAAATAATATAAGTGTAAATTTTACACCAAAAGTGAAGGTGAAGCAAGCAAAACATTGCTCTCACACAAGCAGACTAATGGTATTTGGTGTTTTGCATACATGTAAAAGTATACTTCTGAATAATTTGTACGTTTGAGCATTTTTGTTCTAAGTAAACTGAAGTAACTTTCTTCCTTTTGTTTAAGATCTCCAAGGTTTATGCTAAAAATCCTGGAAAACAACTGTACAGTGTGGGTCTTCTTGATTTCAGGTAATTGTTAATTTTAGAGTGCTCAGTGTATGCATGTTTTAATAACTTTTTTTTGTTTGAAAGACGAATGGAGAATTAAATGAGCATCAGCTATCGGTACTCTATGGTCATTTAGGAACTAAGAAAAGTATAAACCACTCATCTTTGTGCAAGCAATGACTGTTGATCTGCAAGTTTGGTTTTTTACTAATAGATCTGGTAGTGTTGTTGCTAGAGTACAGATGAAGTTTGAAAAATCTGTTACTGACCCTTTAAAACCACTGGAAGATGAAATCAA